AGCTCATGTGACCCTAAGTCACTATAAAAAAGGAGATTCCAAGAAGATTTAATGTTAAAATATCTGTCTGTGTGCAACTAGCTGGGGGTCTGTGCAGTGTGGCATGGGGTGTGTAATTTATTGTAGGAGCTAAGTGTTTCCATTTGCAGTAAGAGCCACTGAAAACAGACTTGCTGAAGGTTTCTGGGGGGCCTGCTTGTAAAAGTACTGATGCAGTGTGAGCTGGCTCGTAGCCTGACAACCTGTTTGGGGAGCTGTATGGATGGGGTTCTAATGAATACATAATCCAGTCATTACAAAAAAGAGTCTTCACACTTGCAGATCTTGCAACTCTGGACCTTTGTGTTTTCTTATTAACTCTTATTACTCCTGAATCCTATGGAAAGTTAGAAATAAAGGAACAAATGGGGATCTTTTGTGTTCATGTGTACATATACATAGAGACATTTACATTGACATTTGTACTTCATACCCAATAGACGCCACATTACCAAATCAGACCCCAAACCATGATACTGTCCAACGTGCTCAGGTCATAATGCACTGAATTATTGTAATGCGCTTAAAATCACCAGCAACAACTCACTGCTGCCCTCTACTGAATCTACAAGCTCACAATAACAACAATTTTCTAAATATTATTTTTTATTAAATATATTTCATCCCCTCATGGCAAGTTTAACAAGTTTATCCTGTGTTTTGGTAATGTTAACATTTGTTTTTCTGTGGAACTGCTCCTCACACTTGCTCACCTGACCTAAAGAAATAACACTTAACACAAGTAAGTAATACAGTGGGTTTGTTTGCTGAAAAGCCAAGCACTTCAGTAAGGTTCAGGTATGTTGTAACGTGGGAAATCACCTGAAGTTGATTTGAGACCGATACTACTGTACAAACTACAGTCAAGTTTGGTTTGGCTGACTAGCTGTTAAAATCTGTCGCAAATAAATGAGAACAAATTGTGAAACAACGGCCAGAAAACCAAAGTGTGCTTCAAAGACCAAGGAAAACATAACAATACGAGCAAGAGCATATGATATCATCATGCAGCTCAGCATCTGGGAAAGTACCATATGAACTGCCATACGGAGCACATTTATGGTTTGTCTAAACCAAAGAAAGTTCCGAATCCAAACAATGTATGTGCAAGGAATGTATATTCACAAAAAAAAGTTCCCATGTTGATCCACCGGCTGATGTCCGTGTCTTTTAAACAGAAGATAAAATGGTAGCACGCTGATAAACATAGATAAGAAGATTATGTTTTTGTTGAGTTTCATATCACATTTTTGTTGCAAACTACATATTCATCCCCTGGTTGGACTCGAGCAACTTACTTCCAGCAAGTTTTTTTCCCAGTTTTAACATTAACCAACAGGCCTTATTTCCTGAAACCAGAAACTCCCTCAGCAAAAGGAAACCCAGCAACACCTGCAGTCGTGGGAGGCCGGCCAGGACGTGAGTCAAGAATCAGGCCATTAGACTGCATAGTCAAATAGAACACTAGAAGTGAAATTCCTCTAATATTTGGTTAATATATTCTAGGTCTGCTCAACATCAACGATTAGTCGATTACTCATAAACATGTAATTCATTGTGAATATGATGCATTGCTAATTACACATCTTAATGAAAGCATAACACTTTAAATCATTTATTTAGTTTAAACAACTTTTAAGTGTAACGTGCTTCGATTTTATAAATATGTCACGACGAGACATTGAAAAATATACCCATTTGGATGACGATTCAGCCCATTTGTATTGCAATCACATGTCTCCATATTTTGGAGCTCAGTGTAACCCACATGTGCCCTGGAAGCCAACAAACTCGGGCTGCTTTTTCCCAGAAGAGAGTTGATTGATTGGCCATCGATAGAGACTTGCTCGTTGAATGAGAACGCTCGCCACAGAACTATCGAGTAAACAGACTTGGAAGTCAAGGCCAGCAAAATCCCTTGTGTCTCCATACCATCCGTTAGGAAGGCAAAGCCGGATCTCATGTATCTGTGGTCAGACAAGACCGCCACCACTTCCTCGTATTGCAAGGCTGCTTCAAAACCACGCCAGTGTGTGCTCTATTTCCCTAACCTTTTTTAAAGTGTTGGAATTCACATAACCATGTGTTGTGCTTCTGGAGTTTGGGACTTCCAGAATCTCACTGTGTATCACTCAAAAAGACAAAAATAAACAATCCATGCTGAAAACATTTTCAACCGTGCTGGAAGAGATTTTCATAATGTCATAACTAGGCATCAATTTATTGTTTTCATGTGTTGTGCTTTCAGGCTCACATTTTTCATGGTGGGCTGTGTTTAATAGAAGTGATAAGTTCATGCTAACTTGGACCAGACTGTTGAGTGAGGCTGTCGGTCTTCTTTCAAACTGCTTTGTGTAAGGCGTCTTCTTGATTCATAATTGAGAGCTCAGCCACTATCCAAAACAAATCTGGTCCACTGTTGACATAAAGTAATTCCCCCCTTGTTAAAGGCAGTCCAACAGAGGTGACCGTCTGAGGCCAACAGTCTTGGTGCCAACAGGATGTTATAATAGTAGTAAAAAGTTAGCCACTTCCACACAACGGCATGCACAGCGGCTGAAACTCTCTGTTGCAATGTGTCACATGCTAGCCAACTTTGAGGGAGGTTGCCTGTTGACTTTTTATTATGGATTGCATTCAAGAGGTTTATTTCAATTATGTTTGTTGTACCAAAAAAAACTGAACCCAAATCTCCATCCAATACAAAGATTATGCTGTTAAATTATGCCCTTTTTCTGGCTTTAATAGTCATTTTGTGCCATGCTCGAGTGTTCTGTTGAATTCACTCAATTGTTATTCCAAACTTACTTTGAAATATATTTCCATGACACTCAAACTGGTTTAAAAGGAGATACAACTTACATAAACATTTGAAGTGGTACCAACATGTGGCTTACAATGTATTCAGTGCCTTGATGTTCACATTTTAATGTTAAAATAGTTTGAGTTTGGATTGTTTCAAAGTTTTTACATGTAATTATTTCCGAGGCCACTTTGCTCTTTGGAACCTTGAATAAAGCAGAAATGTTTTTAAAACGTTCTGGACATAAATACAATCCGGTCTAAGCTCATGGCTTGATGTTTGGTCTGATAAGCATTGTCAGCTGTGAGACCAACACAGCCTTTACAAATCATGTCCAATCCCTTGAGTTTACCACAGGTGAAGCTAATCGAGGTTTGGAGACATCTCAGAGATGATCAGGATAATTATAAGGTACCTGAGCCATATTTCAAGTTACATAGCATAGGGCAGGGGTCTGCAACCTTTTTGACCAAAAGAGCCATTTTGCTCCTTTTTCCAAAAAAATGTTTGTCTGGAGCCGAAAAACATATTTCATAGTTTGTTATATCAGACAAAAACTACAGTTTTTTTGCATTTATTAGGCTATTTATTACATGATATAAAAGTGTTAACCTCTAATAAGAAACAAAGAACTCTTATAAGGAGAATTTAGAAATAATACACAGGCCTACTTTAAAATAAATTAAACACAGCACTTGGGGAGTCCTCTGCACATTTGAAGGAAAACAAATATTATTAAAATGGGCCCACTTTGAAATAAATAAAACATATAGCTGCACCCTAAAAAGAGTTAAAGGTAGGGTAGGTAAGAATGGAGAAACCAGCTCGAGTGAGCTAGAATTTGAAAGTACACAACCGGAAAAAATATGCCTCTTCCTTCAGACTTTCTTACAGAGCCCCTCCTCCAACACACAACGCGCACATGACCAATGAGGGCACGAGATAAGTTTGTGCACAGATGGAAGGCTGACAGGCAGTTAGGCCATCCTGTTACTTTAGCCGGGCCGGCTCAAATGATTGGTCATGCTTTTTACAGCGCTACGGCTTCCAGAGATTAATTTTTGTATGTATTTATTGTCAAAGCATTTAATATATTCATTGCTATCGGGACGTTAAGAGCATTCCATGGAATATAACAAAAAGTGTTTTCTGAAATAAATTACATACCCCATTGAATTATGACTGAAGATCATCAGCTGTCTTCCTCTCCCTTGTTGTTCCTCCATACGTAAAGGCTGCACCACCGTTGACAACATATCAAATATACCGGTAAACCAGCATCGTTTGCTGTGAAAGCAGATAACTCTGTCCACACATAATTAAATCCTATGTTCCTCCGGTACTTTTCTTTGATTTATCCATAGTTCGCTCATCGAGCCAGGGGTCAGGTTATTCGCCTCCAAGAAAGGGCGCTCGCGCGGGACCGTAGCAGGATGTGACGCATATTTTAGTTGACCTAATTAAAACCGTTTTGTTTTTTATTTATGTGTCACAGTATCAGCTCAAAATACAAGATACGAAACATTTTCAACCGTGCAACAAAATATAAATAGTCCTAAAAAATACTTTTATTGTATTTCCTTCTTATTTTTGTCTAAACTCAAGGGAGCCAGAGCAGAGGGCTTAAAGGGCCGCGGGTTGCCGACCCCTGGCATAGGGTCTCAATACTTGTGTCAAGGAGAATTTCATGTTTTGGTTATTTCGTTTTTTAAAATAACATTTGTAATAAATGATTAACTCCTGATTCATTACGGGGTATTGAGTGCATTTCAACTTAAGGCTGGGGTGTGAATACTTTGAATGAACAGTTTACAGTGATTATGATTGTATGGTTGATGAACATATTCTTTCCAACACAGCTGGCAGCAGTTATTAAAGTGTGGGTTACACAGCGTCATTTAAAATGATATTCTTGTCGAACAAAGATTGTAATGAATTGTTTGATTTTGTTCATAATTATGGAAAGTTCATAGGGTTTTATAGGCGTAAACCAATTGTGTTTTTTACCCTGTACCGTTCAGTCTTAACGTTTCCCAGTTCAGAAAAAATCCAGTGCTATTTAACAAGAAATTATTATATCAAAGAGCAGTTGAGCAACTCGTCTAACTAACCAAACTTCAAAGTTGAATGCATTGTTAAAATAAACAAAAAAAAACAGTTTTACTTTTGATAGTTGGAGACTTACTTTTATTTCAGATCATATGCTATGACAGGCCTACAATTGTGATACTTTTCAGATGAATGAAATCATTAAATAATTCCAATATCTAAAATGCAAGTGTTGCTTCATGTATTCCATTTGTTTGCTTTAAACAGATGCAGGTGTACCTTTCCCTTTATATTTATAGCTGATCGTTTATTTCTATCCAATGTCAGGATAAGTTTAGTATCATCAGCAAAAGAAGCGTATTTACAGCTCCGAAATGATTATTTTAAAAATAATTTAAAGTATAACTTTCAGCTAATTACAAGTTGACAGTAATAAGAGAACACAATAAAATCACAATACATGCATCTGTCATTTACAGATTATACAGAATTAAATTGTCAATTGTTCACAAGATATACAGTAGATTGTGAGCTAAATATGGAGTATTTAGTTTACATTATTTAAAAACAAATCATGGAAGTGTTTTCCGTTCTGGTTTCAAGATTCCCAGAACAAGTTGCACGTTTACAGTCTTCGGCTATATCTTAGAAATGTTGGGACCCTTTCTCTCGATGCAATACAACGCAGCAATATTAAGACATGCAACATAAAGCAGCACAGAGACAATGTCTGGAGAGGACAAGTGACACAGATACAGCAGGACAATAATGTGAAAGCAAAGGTTATAAAAAGAAAGAATGGCACTCCATCATCAGTAACAAGGATATTACTGTGATGCAACAGGAAAGCTTTAACCGTCATTCTATTGCTTACACCTTATTTAGTGGGGAATATGTCCGCCCAACTTAAATAAAACAAATGTGTTTCTTCAAAGATAAAAAATAAGGCTTGTTATATTTCGCTTTCCGAAGGCATTAGATGCAAGCTATTTACCAATATACAACTCAGGTTCTGGTCCAATGTTGTACCAACCTCATGAAGACGATTAGGAAGCTTGCTGTGCATCCCTAAGGGGGGGCATGGGGACGCTGTCACAGCTACAGCAGTTTTTTCATGCGGCAAGTGTGCTTCTCCACGTTCATGGTGGCTCGGTCAGTGGAGCTGGTCAGGTCGTTCAGAACATCATCCTGCCGCTCCAGCTCTGTCTCTGCCTCCAGGGCAAGGCTCTTCAGCTGCATCAGCATCTACACACACACAGTCATGTTTTCATCACTTTAGAGGACTTTGTCTTACAATCCTTTCCAGGAGACTTACCCTATCCCTAACATGCGGACTAGTCTAATCATAACCCTTACCCCCTAAATTCAACTTAAACTTGAACCAATTCCCTATAGCGTAAGGATTTATGTTATGAGGACTTTTTTGCATGGGCGAGTCCCAACATTGTGAGTGTAAAATGAATGGTGTCCCCACAACATGAGTAACACAAACACACACACACAGAACATTGGGGAGGGTGGAACATTCAGAGAAGAGAGGTGTATAGATTCAGATTGTGTTAGTGAGTTAGAGAATGAGTGTGTTTGTGAAACAGAGATGGGGTAGATAAGAGGGAATTTTTCATTTAATTCAGAGTTTATTTCGGATCACTTTCACTACAAAGACAACAGTCTGCTGTTAAATGTCTGCAGGTGAGAAGTCAACACCAAACCGATACTCATGTTGCAGATATAATATGTTATATTATGCAGAATAAAAAGCTTATGAACATATTCAAATATCTTGGTGGCTAATCTCCTGGGATCATTTATAAACAATACAGTTTGTTTTTCTGCTCTCTGTGATTTTAAGGAATATGCGACTTCATCTCCATGGCCCAAAAACTGTGTATGTTATAGTACTTAAATACAAGGTGATGTGCCAAGCACAACCTTATAAACACTACTCCCAACCCCACCACCATCGTTTCTAAACTAATATTATGTTATACACATGCTCTCACACACCCACCGACATTAAGTCAGTTTTCACTGGCCGGTACACGCGGTCATTGCAACGGAGCACAGTAACAAGCCCAGACAGCTGTTTGAAAAACAGATAGTATGTCAATACACAAAGAGGAGCAAATGTATTCGCTCACCCAGGTCTGTGACTTTACTATTTCAACTGGGGGAACATGACTAAATCATGACTTGCATTTAACATTCACAGGACTTTTTGTGTCATACATAAACACAGAAAATGAATATTTTTAGCTACTGCTTATACAATGGTGAGAGGATTTAAGTCATGTAGAAAGCCCTAAAATTAAACATTTAGGCTAGAACTGAAAAAGCACATGAGCTTTAATGCTAGTCTTGTGGATGAGCGGGGTAATTTAAGGACTTTGAATTGATAGAAAATACAGTACACGAAATCTACGAATGAGTTTGTGCTGATATTAAAGAAGGAATTTCCAACCTCAAACAATAATACTGGTATAAAATGATCGGACAAAGGGGAATATTTGCTAAAGCACTTAGTGCAGGAAATTAAACTCAGTGACCCTCCGAACAAGTTGCACCACTGTAGATTTTAATCTTGACATGAATTACAATAAGAATAGGGTGTGTACAGAAGCATAGCATTAACTTCAAATTTGCAGCCTTTGAAGTCTGAACCATTATCAGCTCTAGACAATGCGCCATTTATGAACACAATAAGCCAACCTGTATAAATGGCCTATTGCTGTCACTGCTATTATACATTTGTTTGAACAATGATTATATAGACAAAGACAACAGTGAAACAGTGTACATTGTTATTGTGAACACAAATTAATTCAATAACAGGTTGTCGTGGTACTGATTCCCCAGATATTATCCGATCTGAAAGAACCCTGAGAACTAGTTCCTAACCAAATCTTGGAAACCCGTACTTACAAGTATCTTCAAAATGATAACTTTCCTCCTTTAAAAAGGTTCTATGGTATGGCATTCAGAGCATTAATATAGCATACACATATATTTGCTATGTAAGATATAGGGGAGTAACGTTGTCCTAAACACAGAATGAAGTCACACTCTTTCTTCTTTCTTTTGCACAATTAGAACCAACATCTGCAATGCTGCAGGTAACCTAGTAGAAATGTGTTTTTTGTTATTCACTTTAGCTAGGTTTCAGAGTTGCTCAAAATCCATCTCAATGAGAAAAGTTTAGAGAGCAAAGAAGTGTCAAAAGAACCAAGAGTTTCTGGCAACAAATATCAGCAGAAATTAGATGTGAATTACAACAAGGAAGGATTAAAATGTCCTGGGTGTGTGATTCCCTACATCTCTAAAGCCCTAAGGAGAGGGTGTTGTCCCCCCTTAGGAGCCAGTTGTTGCTTTCCTTGAAACTTTTGAGAGGCTTGATTTGAGACATGTTTTAATCAGTGTGGGCAATTTGATACAATTTAAGATGGGCAAAAATTAATAATTTGAGGTATATTTACCAAACATGTATATTTTATGCATTTAAAATAACATAGAAATCAGCAAATATACAATTAGAGCCTTAGTGTCATTTCATAAAATTAATTCAAACCTCTCAATGCTGCTTGCAGCTTTTATCTAAGCATAATTTAACAAGTAGATTACTAAAATTGTTTACAGTATATATCTATTTAGGATATGGAATAGTGTGCCACACACAAAACAAATATCTGAATCATAGCTCTGAATATGCATCATTGTTTACATTTTGCCACCACAGACCATGCCGCTAACATTTCTCAGCGTTGAGAGGTTCTGAATGGAAAGACGTTGTGAAGTCTGACCAGGTTTCTTTCCAACTCTTAAAACTAGGATGGACTTTGGTTTGTGGTCTCACTAAATAACATTTTAATTATACAGGATGAAAACTTAAAATCATTATAGTGAATGGAAGGTTGGAATCAAAATACATTTCACTAAAACCATAGGGTTGTTTACTAAAATACATATAAATCCAAACATGAAAAATGCGACCTTGGTGTATGCATGATATATTAACACTGGTCTCACCTGTTTCAGTTCCTGGGCCTCAGACTGACTGACAGATGGCTGGAGGATGTGCACCTGCAGCTGGGACAGCGCTCCTGCTGGGACCTCTAGTGGGAGCTCCGTGTCTTGGCACCTCTGTAGCAGACCTGACTCCATGGGTGGAGAATGTGAATAAGTGCAGAGTGCATATGTAGTTTATGAGAAAACCAGACGGTAAACTCAAAGTAACTGTGGCAATCAGGACAAAGTGACTCATCAAAACACATTTCTGTCAAGGAAAGACACCAATAACCGTGTCCAAAAGTCATGTGCATGAAATGTTTTTACATTTGGCTAGAAATGGAAACATAGAGCTTTACTGCCACTTAGTGGTCAATTTCATGCTAGATGTGGAAACAGTGGAACATTATTTATTTATATAAAATATGCCTTACCTTCATTCCAGGTTTGCCCCTCTGTGTCACACGGAGATGAAACTGGAGTTGCTCTGAAAGCAGTGTATTCACTAGTGAACTCCACTTTTTTTCGGTATTGAATCTCTAACACCGACATTGCCTCCGGCATCTTGGCAGACAGGAACCTGTAGCATATATCCGGCTTCCCAATGAACCGCTGTCTTACAGTGATCTCATACGGACTGTGCACTCTAACTTCGTCAATGTCATTTCTTTCAAAGCGGTGAATGAGTTGGCAGTTTGTGTCTAGCACCTCCAGTGAGGACACCAGCACCAACAAGCATCCAGGTTTTAAGTCAGAGTCCCCTCCTTTGGTCACTATAGCTGGGATGCTTGCGATTACCTTATTTCTACCAGAGCCTTTACCAGCTGCAGAACGGGCCGCAGCTCTTGCAGCGTCCTCCGCCTTAGCTTCCTGCTGAGTTTTCCAGGGGAGTTTACCAAAAGGCCACCAGGGGGGAGATTCCAGCTCTGACAAAAGTCTGCAAAAGAGTAAAAAGGGAAATGACAATTCATGGGATTATGACTTGCTTTAGTATTACATTAGGCTTGTTTTGCATTGCAACTACTTACTGATAGCAGTCCACACGACACAAATTAAACATGAACAAGACTTCCAAATAGAAAAGTGCATAATATCATTGAGTCAGGAATTTGTTGCGATAATTACTTATCAGCCACGCCCAGATCTGAGTCAATCTTCTCCAGTCCCTGCATCGCATTGTCAAACTGCTCTCCTTGGTGGCTGAGGACTTTGCCGGTGTCCTCCAATCTTCTCTGGGCCCCCGCCACCAGGCTGATCAGCTCACTGCCTTTAGAGGGTTTGCATTCGGCCCCCCGTGCCTCTGAGCCAGGGGACAGGAGGCGTTCCCTCCAAAAATGCTCTAACACGTTAAAAACCACCACCCTGTTAGGCTTAAGGGAACCAAACCAGTGTTTCACATTGCCCTCTTCAAGCACTGTGAGAGTGCTGAAGATGAAACTGGATGACTCCATCTTGATATCCATGATCCTGGAAAGGCGAAAGCTGGTAAGACTCTCCTTACTCTGGTTAGAGACAAAGCGCACCATGGTCCTGGTGAGGGACAGGGTGCCAGTTTCCCACCGTTTCTCAGTGTTGATGTAATAGGAGCCAGGCCAGCTGTGGATAGGAGCATCCCGGCTCATTTTGGAAGGAGTTACACTGATTCACCTAGAACGACAAATATGCATATGCACTATACTTATGCAGAGATATGGAAAAAGTACTAATATATTATACCTAAGTAAATGATGAAGAACCAGAGTGTAGGAATACTCTGTTACAAGTAAAAGTCCAACAATCAAAATGGTACTCAGTACAAAAGTATTGGCTTCAAAATATACTTACAGTAACAAAAGTACTCATTATGCAGAACGGCCATTTACAGAATAATAATATATATCATATTATGTTTTGATTATACATATTGATGCATCAAAGTGAGCAGGTAGTTTTAAATTAACCCGAATCTACAAAGTAACTAAAGATATCACATAAATATAGTGGATAAAAAGTACACGATGTATCTTTGAATTGTAGTGGAGTAGAAGCAAAAAGTAGCAGAAAATTGAAATACAATTACCTCAAAATTGTACTCAAGAACAGTACTTAACCACTAAGTTACTTTACACCACTGCTAATGCACACATATTTGCATTGTAAATTACATTATTAAGACATTGTTTTTAGTTATGTCTTCAATTGTCCTGATAGTAAACAAACACACGTACCTCAGGGTGTAATAATAAGGAATCCAAGAAGCAGATGAGCTGAGGCGTTTACCCTGACATCTTCATAAGAAACGGCCTTTACGATTGCGTCATTAAAACGTTATAAACCCTCTTAGCATTTATCACTTCCTCTTGGACTATTATATCCGTCTAACAAGACATTAATCGACAACATTACCTTGTTGTCCTGAGCAGTGTAACCCTACACTCCTCTCTGTAAAGCTGTTTATTACGGAAGTGACGTCACTCAGAGGCACGGCTGTATTTACTGTCCGACTTGAATATTCTGCTGTCAAAAGGCTATCGCGACAAGGTTTTGTAAAACATAATTATTTTTAACTAAGACGGCGGTTTCTGAATAAGCTAAAATAGCATACAGCTTAATCTTTAAAATAAATAGAAACAAATAAAATTAAAATAAGCACTATATTCTGTGTGTATTTCGGGAACCTTACGTTGCTATTTTCGGGATGGGGTCATATTCAGCGACATGTTTTCAAATAATTTTAGCATTATGTTTTTTTCTAGCATGATATAGCCCAAGAGTGACAGTAGAATTGAAAAGGCGTACGTTATGTAACAGTGAATGTAAAACAAATTGACCGGTTAGCTTTTCCTTACCGTCGTTTGCTGTCCACACGCTGACCGCTTAGCTAACAGGCTAGCACAGTTCTTGTTTACCATTATGGACAGGGACGCGTACCGTAACTGCTGCAGCCTGGTAAAAATACCAAGACCGTCTTATGAACAGTTCTGGTCTTCACATTTTGTAGACTACATCGACAAGGATCTGAGCTATTCTAAGTTTTTTAAGAAGTACTTGCTTCCCAATCACCCATGCATGTTTTCACGAAGGTTTACAGAGGACTGGAAGTGTAGAAAACAGTGGGTGTCGGAGGAAGGGAAGCCGAATTTCCAGAAACTGCTGCAAGAGTTTGGTATATAGCCCTATTACTTATGATATTAACAAATATGTATCATGATGCAGCTTCTGCATTGGAAGCTGTCATGCAGTGTTATTTCATAATGTGTTTGTTGCTTGTTTCAGATGAGACTCCTGTTCCTGTTGCAAACTGCAATGCAAAGGAGTACAATGCAAACCCTAAACAAGTAATGCCTTTCAAAGAATTTATACACTACTGGAAGGAATACATCAAGAATGGCCACTCCTCACCTAAAGGATGTCTCTATCTGAAAGACTGGCACATGGCAAGGTATGAATTGATACAGATAACAAACATATTTGTAAAGCACATTTTTCTAAATACTTTACTGTATGAAACTATTATTGTGGTTCTACAGGGACTATCCAGAGCATAATGTTTACAGCACACCAGTCTTCTTCTCTTCTGACTGGCTGAATGAATACTGGGATACACTTGAAGTGGATGACTACCGATTTGTCTACATGGGACCTAAAGGCTCTTGGTAAGAAAAATGTAAAATAATGTTGGTAAAACCAACATTATGTTATCTTGGTCTCAATATATTTAAAGGTCCCATGTCATGGCCATTTCTACTGATCATAATTCCATTGTTGAGGTCTACTAGAATAGATTTATATTGTGCAATTTTCCAAACTCACATTGGTTTCTCATACAGCATCTCTGTATAGTATGTGTATTCACTCTCTGTCCTAAACGGCTTGTTGGAGCTCCTGCCCCCCCCTCTGATTGGTCTGTTCTGATGAGTCTACCACTATGGTCTACCACCGTTACAGCGGAACATCAGTGATTATGTGTTACAATGGCGTTAGCAACCAGAAAATGACAACAGTCACATTAAAACAGTTACTAAATGAGCCTACTATCACCTAAAGAATATATCTAGGATTAAAAGACTAATGTCACAGCAGGATTTGGAAAAACTTGTCCATGCTTTTATCTTCAGTAGACTCGACTACTGCAATGGTGTCTTCACAGGTCTCACTAACAAATCTATTAGGAAGCTGCAGCTGATTCAGAACGCCGCTGCTCGAGTCCTCACTAACACTAAGAAAGTGGATCACATCACTCCTGTTCTGAAGTCTTTACACTGGCTTCCTGTGTGTCAAAGAATAGATTTCAAAATACTGCTGCTGGTTTATAAAGCACTGAATGGTTTAGGCCCAAAATACATTTCTGACCTCCTGCTAAATTATGAACCATCCAGATCTCTCAGGTCTTCAGGGACTGGTCAGCTTTCTGTCCCCAGAGTCAGAACTAAACATGGAGAAGCAGCGTTCAGTTATTATGCTCCAAATATCTGGAACAAACTCCCAGAAACCTGCAGGTCCGCTGCAACTCTGACTACTTTTAAATCCAGGCTGAAGACTTTTCTTTTTGTCGCTGCTTTTAATTGAACTATTCACATCTTAAACTGCACTGTAACTTTTATCCATGTATTTTTTCTTTTAATGTTTATTTTATTATCTTTTCTTTTTAATGACTGATTTTAAATGCCATTTTCTTAATGTCTTTCGTTTTTTGTAAAGCACTTTGAATTGCCTTGTGTTGAAAAGTGCTATATAAATAAACTTGCCTTGCCTTACCAGTAAGGACAGTAAGAGAGAGTGTGTCTGTGTGTGAGGAGCTCCACGGATTGGTCCATTTTGACCAATGGGTCCATTTGGGTATGGGCACGTCACAGTACCCAGGAAGAAAACAATGGGATACTTTGAGGGTTTGTGACTTTGCAGACCGTTTACATGCAGAAAAGCTACATAACACACAAGGAGACGGGTAATAACCAGAAAAGCATGACATGGGACCTTTAATGTTGTTATAGTTTTGAGGCAACACATATGGGACGTCTATCAATCATATTCACTTTCTTGTCCCCAGGACTCCGTTCCACGCCGATGTGTTTCGCTCCTACAGCTGGTCTGCAAACATCTGTGGCAGGAAGAAATGGCTCCTGTATCCTCCCGGTCAGGAGGAGTTTTTAAGGGACACTCACGGCAACCTCCCTTACGATGTAACATCAGCTGAGCTTCGAGACAGAAGCCTTTTTCCCCGCTCTGAGGAAGCTTGTCAACCTCTTGAAATTATACAAGAGGCAGGTGAAATCATTTTTGTGCCCAGTGGGTGGCACCATCAAGTTTATAATCTGGTAAGTATAACATCACCAAATGCAAAAATGACTCAATAATAAATACAGCTATTTACCAAACTTCTACTTCCACAAATTCTCTCTCTTAAATGACTGTATTACAGGAGGACACCATCTCTATAAATCATAACTGGTTGAATGGCTGTAACGTAGACATCATGTGGCAGTTCCTTCAGAGTGAGCTATCGTCCGTTCAAAAAGAGATCGATGAGTGGAGAAACACGATGGACTCGTGGCATCAGCACTGCCAGGTACTTCAGACTTTTTAGCTCACATGCTTTCTTGAAACATGCTGCTGCCATGAATGTTAGCAATCTTATATTTAAAGTCATTATTGTTTCTTACTTTTTAGGTCATTATGAAGGCCTGCTCTGGCATTAATTATGCAGAATTTGCCTCGTTCCTGAAAATCCTTGCTGAACACCGGATGTCTGTCCTGAATGCCTGTTCTTCTGGGAATTCCTCCGATTACCCTCGTCATCTCTCGGAGACCCTCACCACACTTGGACCTTACCATGCTGCCTTTGACCTCCAAAGAGTGGCTCACATAATTGAATGCCTTCTCTGCGATGAAGATTTTAAGCGGCTCGATCATTCAACTTTGACTTTGCAGCCAGAAACCATGTTACAGCAAATTCGGGACACCATACAATCCACAAGGGGGCAGCATCTCCTTTATCAGGAATAAGATGTGCAGTGGTGTCTCAACAGTGTTATCGCCTGGAAATGGCTTGAATGAAAAGTGCCAATATGTACAGTGGAAATAAGTTAAAAAAGGTCTTTCTTCATCTTTAGTTTGAGATGAGTTTTACAAGTTGAATGTTTTCTTTTGCACCGACAGATACAAAAGATAAAATAAAAAAAATACACAACGGTATTAATTGAGTTTGTATTGATTTTTTTCCATATTTATTCAACAACCACCAATACCAAACGACTGTTGGTACATCCTGTTGTATAGTGCTGCAATATATTTGATAAATAGCATAATTGTCGTGATTAATACTTTACATTTTTGTCACTGTAAAACTAGATTTTATATAACAAACAAAACAAAATCACTCAAAAATATGGATTGGTGCCACACAGCTGTTAAGCAATGACAGTGTAACATACTGTACTTCAGAGTTGAGTCTATGAGAAGTCTGTCAGATTCAATGTGCGTCACATTTTAGGGAACTATAAAACGTCCTTCTCTTTAGTTGTTCTTCACGTCTTTAGGCCACCAGGCTGGCACAGAGGCCTCAACTGCCACTGTGGTGTCATCAGAAGATTTGAGTGTCAACGCTTCTTTGGCATGAGCCATGCGGATTAAGCTCAGACCCAACTCATCAACCCCCGCTCGGTGCTTCCCAGCTGGCTTGCCCGACTGTGTTTGCAGCGCTGCTGCGTCCTCGAGGTCTGGGAGAGGAGCTGACAAGCGTACTGGCATCAGGCGTTTACGGATCACCCCTGTGTGATGAGTTCTGGCTGTGAGCTCCTGGCCAATGTAACATCCCTTGCTAAAACTGATACCCTGCATGTAGATGAGATTTGATTCTAGTGGCAGTGCCACCCCAGGAGGAAGGTCCTTCACTCCCTCAGGAAGTCCTAGACAACAATGACAACAGAGGAAGTAAACAAAGTGTCAAGAGAACATGTGCATACACTCTTAATCCTTGTTTAACTTTTAAATACGATCTGCAAGTATACCCGACCTTACCTATTGCATAGCGATGTCTTTGATAGTCCACCGTGTCACCTTTCTCACATGATGCAATGATATCCAAGGGGTTATCTTGACTGTCTAACACCAATCTCCAGCCCATTTCCTGAGTGCGAGGATCAGCCTCCCATACAAGAGCTTTGTCTGGGGAGGAGAGCTCAGGTTTACCGGCCTCTTGACCTGCTTTCTTTTGCTTTGAGAGCACCGCCCATACAGACAGCTCTGGACAGGGGTTTATGTTGACCTTTCTGCGGAGCTTGTACATCTTCAGATGTCTCAAGATGGAGTCCTTAATTGTGCTGTCACACTCCAAGAAAACGCCCGGCCCTGCATCAGCTTCTTTCAGACTGAAAAGGAAATACAGCAAATGATGTGCCACACACAATACAAATAAATCATAAAAACTACTACTATTGGTTAATACAAAACATAATATTGTGATACATTGATACTTAATCTGACTGGACAAATAGAGATATGGATTTTTATTTTTCCTGGAGAGGCTTTTGAATAGCACAAAAGATGTGTAGCATAGCTCGATTAGAGGTCCAGCTTGCTAGGCACAGTTACTAAGAACTCAAGTATCACTGGTTACTAAATCCACTGCCAACTAAAATATGTACAGGTCCTTAAAAAGTAACCTCTTGCCATCTTTCCATCAAAAAGAGACTTCACTGAGTAATATAGGTTCGCTATGTCTTTTTGTAACATCACAGAAGCTTACAAAGATATTTCTTTGTTACAATGGAATATCTCAAAAGGTGATCAGCTCCTAATCATCACAGTTTGATCAGCTTCCCTGCAAACAATGGAAGAGAGACAATCCATAAAATAGCTGCTATAAGAAACCAAATTCACATTTTTAAAGTGTAATGGAATTGCAACTTATAAGAACGTATCACCATCAGAGTGCTAAATATATTTTGAACTTAGTCCAAAGCAGTTGCATCAATATTGTTAGCTAATGTTTAAAGACCCAAATATTCTACATTTGAGTTTTGGTCATGCTGTCTGCCTGGAGCTAGAAGTTATGAGGTTATGTTTGTACAGTAAAAAATGTATGGATATTTATTACCATCGTTTCCTTACAGCTATTTATATTTCATTTTAGGGCTTCTTCTGTTTTAAACAAATATTGTTTTTAAAGTTAAGCTGCTTAAGATGCTGAATCTGATGTGACCCCAGTGACTCCAAATTAACGCAGCAATGTAGTTAAACACTGATAGCACACACGTCTTTTATAGGATTGTAGTCATTTTTCTATATATATATATATATATTATTGATCATTAAGCAACCTTTTCAATATAAAAAAAATGTTTGAAGCACAAAGGTATTCAAAATAGCATTAGTGTGTAATGGCTGTCACATATCAAACCTAAAACTAGGTACAACACACAGCTCTGCACCTCTTCTACTAGTTTGACTGATCTAAATTGTGGACCGTTTGTTAATCTCATTCAAAATGACTTGGACTCATTTATGGGATGCTCAAACACTATGGTATATTACTTTTAGATCCGGGTTGTATAAACAACCCTGAGGTTTGTTTGGCCAGTATCTACGCCTACAACTGCACTCCCAAGATAAGTAGCCGCTGCCTCCTGTGTCCACTGAACACATGCAAATGTAGTTTAAATAGTATTACAAAAGTACTGCACCTGTACAACATGATGTCAAAAAGTGTTCTCCCTTGTACATTTAGAACATGTGAGTACATGGCTGTGAGTCCAGGCTCCTCCAGCAGACGCATGTCATTGGTTATAATTCCCTGAAGAAACGGACTCGTGTCTTGTCCCTGGATTTTGAGTAAGGTCCTTTGAGGAAGGTGATAGCACACAAACTGTCCTGCAACATTTCTCTCCACAGTGTCCTGGCTGTACCCTCTGACACGGACAACCCCTGGAGCCGAAACACCGGAGAAAAACGTGAGGCACAAATGCCGACCGGTGTATTTTCTGGCGGACGTGAACGCTCCCCTGGCGAAAAACAGAACCCCCATGTTGTATAATGTCACAGGAGTGTGTTCACTGTTTAATGTATAGGAGACACTGCCTTTGTTGACTTTGGTCGACGGCTACATAACACAGGACATCGCAGTTGACTCCAGCAGCCGGGGCTCCATTTTGAAATCCCACAATGCATTGCTCGATAATAACAAAACAAGTGGGTTTTTTCCCCCAGTTACACTATTTTTATGTCTGGAGCATAAATATTGTATAAATACAACTGAATATTTAACAATTATTATAATAACATGAACTTGATTTATTTTGCGGATAAAATAAGTACAGTGACAATTATATTTAGGCAGATGCCCTTTGAACTATATTGAAGTTGAACAATGCTATTTGCTCCCGGGTAACAAAAGTGAACAATGCTATTTGCACCCGGTGATAGTGAACAATGCTGACAAGACAATACTTTTTTTAAATGTTGTTTAATTGAAATAAGCAAATGAAACTAAAGGAATATGCAAAGGAGAGAACATTTGGTACAAATAAATAATTATGTTTTCAATCAACAGCATTTTTTAACTCTCTTTTCTGACAAGTGCCTAACCAATGGCTATCCAAATCTCAAAGTATTTAATATAATATTTTACAAATATCATAAAATAAAGAAAATCAACAGTTCTTGATAGCCTACTTATTCACGTTTGTCAAGGTTCAACAGAGAGATACAGTAACATGTTTGTAAGTCTGATGGATTTGGTACATGTTGTCATCTTGTAATAAAAAAAGACAAGATTTTAGAATTTCAGTATTCTTCTTTTCAGACTACAAAACAGATTTTTCCATCCAACATATTTCTAAATCGCAAACATATTCCATTCTCTTCTCTCTTGGCTCCGATCCAGTTTAACATACTGCAATATGAGAGTCTTTCTTAAACCAAATGTGTTACTGTTTCACCAGTTTTCCCTTCCTGATTAACTTTTTTTGCTAAAGGATATTGAATGTTTCCTGATAGAGGAGGACTCCCATAACATCAATGTTAACCAGTAACAATCAGGAGAACGTTTTAGCTTTTGATAACTTTTGTAACCTGATGTAATACACTTCTATTTTATTATCATTATTATATTCATAAACATTAACCAGGATGATAAGAGCACTGTATATTAAGGTTACATAGTACACACGTACAATGTCATTGAACATTGTCTCTATCCGCAGCCGGAGAAGAAACGAGTGCTCAGGGACCGTCTGCAAAGTGCAACTCAGAAAAAAGAGAATACAATAATATTCACTATTATACAGTATATTACTACCAAACTCACCACACACATCAATAGTCTCCTGGTGGTCATACTATAGCAAAGAGTTTTGAAGAATATGCTTTTGAATAATTTTGGGGAATATTTATAATGTAAAATCTTCAATAAATATGGCATTATCTTGAATAACTTTACTATTATATTTCTACCAAACTCACTATTTGCATTGTTGTTGTTAGCATCTGGTTACCTAGCTGCGCTAACAGATAGCTGTTTCTAAAACAAGGAGAGGGAGAGCTCTCTCCTCAGACTGAGAGATAACTACAGCTCAGTGAGGTGGGACTCTGTTTAGATAGTTCACTTTAGCCTAGTTATCTCAGTGGGTCTCAAACGTTTTGGTCACCATTTATGAGAATAAATGAAAAACAGTTATGAAATACTATATGACAGTAAAACAAGAATACAGTTTAAAAGGTGAGTGATTTGTAAAATATCCATAAGAAAATCTGTTTACTGTTCAGTTTCATATGGGTGTTGAGAGATGTATCCATAAATTCATTTTGCTCTCAAAGTGCACCAGGTTGATGAATTTAACTTCAATATTTAAAAACAATCTTCCCGGGGGAGCATGCCCCCGGACCCCCCTAGAGGAGGTGAGGACCACCCCCACTTATAAAATAGCACTTGAATGTAAGAGTCGCGGGTACACTGTGTATATGCGTATTCCACTGTAGCGCCCGGTACATTAATGGGAAACCCTAGTTTGTACATGTTCAATACATTTGTAACACTGAACAAATGAACGTTTATTTTTTCGGTTCACCAAAAAAAAAATCTCACTCCAAGCTGAACTCAAATGTTGGCAGCCCTGCTTTAAGTATTGTAAACATGCACTAAATAAATACAGAATAATTTGTTAATATGGAAATTAAAGTAATATTGATTGGTGATGGGGTTTGAAGTTATATACAATGAACCTCTCTAGGTTAGGTTTCTTTGTCATGTTTCTGAGTACCACATCTGGTGCTACTTATCCAAAAAATGTAAGGGTCCAAGAATGTTTTTTGGTTTTTTTCACATTTACAGTACAACCTAAGCCTTGATTTGATTTTCTGATTCTGGAAAATAGGTGTTTTTTCATTTTTATAGAATTTTCCCACATTACTACATTTTGTAGGTTTTAAACATTTTATCGCCCTCCTGCACCAATGCTTTACTTTATTTTACCGGTAAGTACACTTTACTGCTACACATATTTCCAAACTCTTCTTGGAATAGATACTTAAGACAACTTTTCTTTGGTCAGCAACAGGTAAGTTAAACATGTCTTATCTGGAGCATGACATAATCATATAAGATATAATACATTTGTATAAATAAGTCATTTACAATTTGACAAAGATTTTTGTTTAGATTTTGATTGGATCTGTTTCTTAGCTATAACAAACTTACTTTTACAAAGACTCAATTGCTGTGATGAAGCAAAAAAGCACATCAGAGGTTTCACATAAGTTTATTTCTTCATGAATAAAATACCAGAACAGTCTTTAAAAGTTTGAGGCACTTTGAAGTGTGACTACAGTGAAGGCAGGATTAAATATTACTCATAAACCAATTTTAGAAACAAACATCATCTGTGACAGAAAAACTGAAATGGTCATTTTAAAGACCAAGCATGCCAAAACATTAGATACAATGTAGAGCTAATTTCCTAACTAAGGGTGGGATGTCCCAGTTGCAAAGCATGCATCTGCTTCAAATTGCAGAAAATCAATATTTAGTTTAACAAATAATTAGATTTTCTATTAACTTACCTTTTCCCCTTTTAAACGGCAAGGCTTTGAAAAATACAGAATATATAAAGGCTTTGCACGCAATGACTGAAAATCATCACAACTTAACAGATGTCTACCAAAAGAGCATACAGTGACAGAGCCCGGTTTCATTATCTTTATCAAAACATTTCACATTATCTGCTTCCAGCAATGCTCATCCATACTACATCCAAAAATATTTCTCTAAATATTAAACATGCATCTTTCCAAAGTAATCATCATTCTTCAGAAATGAGTCATTGTACATTTGTACAGTGCTTTTCACTGCATTTTTCAATTAAGTTAGAGGGTACAATCACACACTTACAAAGTTAGAGTTCTCTTGAAGAATCCAGTTCAGCGGCAGTCAAGGGTAGACCAGATAAATAGCCCCAAGCAGTCAGTTTATAATACTTTGAAATGTTAGCTGGAATTAAATATATTTAGCTGAGTATGCACATGTTATCTCCAAAAGCTATGGCAAGCACAAAATGACAGGCTACAGTAAAAAGGAAGTTTTGTGATAATGGATTTTATAGTTTCTATATGTACTTCTGAATTTAAAATGTGTGCATTATACTCTGTTCTCCTGTAGGGATCGTCTAAGCCGCATCTCTCTCGCACAAACACACGCATACACACACACACATCCTGCAGCGGTGTCACAGTGAAGTCCTTGAGTCCGAAAAGTTTTAACTGTTAATTTATTAAATTAAACGTATGGCTATATCCAGACAGAGGTCTTTCCATTTTTAACAATAGTTGCAGCCTTCTCTGTGGCTAACTTTGGCCTTGCTCCTTGTCTCTCCTGGACTGTATTGACTCGATTTTGCTCTGCCATAGTGCCCCCAGATACAGGACTACTGGTCCTGGAGGTCTGCTGGATGGTTTTAATTTGATATGTTTGAAAGGCCATGTCAAGCTGCTCCTGGGCAACACGTAGGTGCCGGTGTAGGCTTGCTAAATCAGAAGGGATGTTCTCATCTGGGCTGGTGCACTGCTGCTCCTGGGCCACATTGGCCATGTTCTGCTCGTGGGTGATGAGGCTGTTGGGGATCCTGGTAGGTTTGTCTGTCTTCATCACAAGGTTATACCCCGGAGGGGAGGCTGGGATGTTTCGAGAAAACGGGTAGCCATAGGACATCCGTCGGCCCCGGTTCCTCTTAATGCGAAGGGTGTCCCGAAAAGTGCCGATTCCTAAGTGAAGCATCTCACACACATTTAGCACTAGACAAAGACAGCTTACCACATACATGATGAGAAGGAAGATAGTTTTCTCTGTGGGCCTGGAGATAAAACAGTCCACTCTGTGTGGACAGGGGACCCTGTTGCATACATATGAAGGACTAACTCGAAAACCATAAAGGAGATACTGTCCTGCAAGAAAAGCAATTTCAAAAATAGCTCGCGACATGAGCTGAAGAACGTAGATTCTCATCAGGCCTTCTTGCATAATTCTTCGGCGGCCATCATGTTTTGGTGGCTGCGTTGGTTCAGGCTTGGCCTCCAGTGAATCCTCAAAGATCATGGGCTCAGCATCGTCGTCTTCATCCCCCTCTAAGACATCGTCCAGATGGTGGCTTTCTCTCCATCTGGAGTGAGGAGTAAGCTTTTTTCTGAGCCTGTGAAGCTTCTTGCGATCCGCTTCTGAAATCCGGGCTATCTTGTGGATGGCGTAACCCACGTACATGATAGAAGGAGTGGAGATCATGATGATCTGGAAGACCCAGAAGCGGACATGCGAGAGAGGGGCAAAGGCATCATAGCAGACGTTGTCACAACCTGGCTGCTTGGTGTTGCAGGTAAACTTTGTCTGCTCGTCCGAGTAGATGGACTCTCCTCCGACCGCTGTGAGCACAATGCGGAATATGATGAGCACAGTCAGCCACACTTTCCCCACAAAGGTGGAGTGGTGGTGGATCTCTTCCAGGAGACGAGTGAGAAAGCTCCAGCTCATGTTGCTCTCACAAGCTTTTCAACTAGAATCTGTAAAGGGAGAATGAAGAATGAATTAGGATCCGTGTAGATTAAATCATTTATATTCAGTACGTTATCCCACAGGGGCATCACAGAGTTAAAGATGGTTGTAATTATATTCTTTTCACATTTGTATTCTGTATATAAAATGCCTCTGCTGTTTCTGTCTAACTAAAGCAATTTCGAACTAGCGCTGAAATTAACAATTACTTTCATTACCTATGTATCTGTACATTCTTATCTTGCCTATAAAATGTCCTAAATCCATACTTTAAATGTCTTTTTTTCTCCCACAACTCCAAAACTCAAAATCTTAAAGTTTACTATCACACATTGCTAATAAAACCTGAAAATATTCACATTTGAGATACGTTTCTGCTTTTTGTCAAACATTAACCGTATTAAATTGCACAGTAAGACTTGATGTAGAGGAGACATTTATTTTCAATTGCTTGCACAGCCAAACACAAGACAATAGCTTGTGTTGATTCATGTCGGGAAGCAGGGTGATGTCATTCAGTCACCCTATCTAACTCAAATCATGCAGTATTTTTATAAAATCACCATCTTAAATAAATAAATAAACAATTAAAGAAAAAAATATGAAATGGGTTTTAAATGAGCAAAAGAATAGCAGGGGAAAGATTAAAAAAAGAAAGAGAAAAACATTTCGTCTGCCGTGCACACACCAAACAGCAACAACAACCTTGGACCGTTTTGAACGCATTATACTAAAAGAGGCTGAAAAACACATAATGGAAATGACATAGCTCTAAAAAGCGCATTCTGGTAGAAGAGCTCACCCTCAGAAACATACTGTATTCAACGTTTCAACACAATGACATGACATGAGACCTCACAGTGTCAACTCTCTGACTCTGTGAGGTGAACAAGGCTACACTGAGGAGACAACGTATCGCTTCTGTCCGCTCATTCATGGGGCAGAGCGAGCTGCAGAGTTCAAGTTGATCTCATGACTGCGGCACTGTTTTCCCTGGCTTGGGATGTGGCATCTCGCCTGCCATCTGAGTAAACAGGAGAGGTTTGTTGCTCTGCCACGAGGCCTTCCCTCAAGATCAGGCACTGCTGACGCTGGGGAAGGGTACAGCCGCATGGAGGCAGATGGCACCTATGGTGTGCGACTCATGTCTGCCCCAGGATGGCATGACAAGAGCTACACTGAGGAGTTTTAAGTTCCAACAGATCTGTTGTGTGTCATAGCATCAACATCATACCCTAGCATTGGGAATCTTGAGATATCTGCCTGCTGTTAATGTGTTTTGCAAAATGTCAACTTTCACAGTCTGTCTTACATTTTCAGTTTTTAGTTTTTTAGTCTTTCCTGAGAAGGGATCTGTAATCTTAGTGGGACTTGTGAGTTTATTAAACAAGGATAAGATTTTAGTGAAGAAAAAGCAGCATCATGTTTGGGTTATGATTTGTTGCTTAACGCGTCTCGGTTGAGACTGTAGAAAGCTGTAGACATGTTTTATTTATATCCTTTATAGGGAAACATATAGTTTTAGGATGGATATGTTTCACTAATGCAGGCTATCTCATTGTACAATACAAGCTACAGTGGTAATTGTATTTACAGAAAGTATACATATTTAATGAACACCTTGACTTATGATATTTAAATTCACCAGTAGGGAATCACTTATAAAAAACAATATGTAATAAGGTTGAATAAATTAGACTTAAGTCTTAATTGTAAGAACGGGTATTTCATAATCAATGAAGATGCAGGCCCGATATTAAAAAGGCATATTATTGCGTTGTTTGTAACTGTAAATAGCTTTGTCCTTATAGCAGAATATAAATAAAGGACTGTTGCAGTGTCAATAAATTATCTTTCAGCAGAATACATTTTAGACACAGGACCTCCCAAACAGTCCATAATGTTACTGTCACAAAATGTGCATTTTCCATTATATGACTAAACAAAAACTATAATACCGTTTCATAAGGAGACAGTCAATAACTGAAACAACCCACCTGGAAAAGTTGCAAATGCATTTCCAATCCTCAAGGTCTCCTTTGCCCTCTCTAGATGTCCCCTGCACAGTCTGATCCCTGGGATACCGCTTCCATCCTAATGTCCTGACCTTTTCCGTTATTGATAACTTCCAGAATGTCCAAAACAAAACAAAAAAGGGTGAACTTTTCAGACTAGACTTTCTAATTATTCCGTTTTCCCACTCTGTGAAGAAGTGAGGTCTCGCCGCTGTGAATGCCTCACATTCTGGCTTGTGTCTGGTTTCTATTACACCAGCCTTCTGCCCAAGAAGGAAGTATAAAAAACAGAGAGGCAGAAAAAAATCCTCCTCTGGCAAGTGACCCTTATCCAAGGGTTCAGACTTGAGGATATCGTACTGCAGATTGAAATGAACACCCAGCTGAGGGAGCGTGTTAACCGCAACACAGTCAACCTACCCCCCCAATGCTCATGTGCAACATTTATAATACAGATGATGAAGGTCTCTATCTCTCTCTCTCTCTTTGGTTTCTCTACTCTGTCTCTCTCTGTCTCTCCCTTTCTCTCTTCATCTATCTATGTCTTAGCTTCTTGTAGGTTAATGTCTACATGCTTTGCTTATCCAGCAACAGCAGTATCTACTTGTGAGGTGAAGGGTTATGTAAAGAGTCATGGCACACTTCTCACACATTTGTAAAAATGCAAAAAGTAATTTAAAGCTTCCGTCTGTCTCTCTAGAGCTTTCTCTTGTCTTAATCGTGAACACACAATCAAACGCATATCAACCACAGTAAATGTAGATGACCACAATCTATATTATTTGTCAATTACATAACAGTTTAAAGTGTGTGTCAGTTATGGAAGAACAACTTTGGGGAGAAAAAGACACAGAGTTTGGCGACAGAAGTGTCACCGAGACATAAGCCACCTTGCCTCAGTGCAGATCTGTTAGAATGTAACCAGCAGGTACACTCAGTCCTATCAAGTGTCATAATATTTAGATCCTCCGTCCAGGCAGATGGCCAGATAACAGAGCAGTGGACAGGTCGCTCTTAGCACTCCTGCTACACGTCTTTTCCGACTTCATGTTTATACCTTCAAGGTATCTCTCTCTCTATCTCTCTCTGTCTCCCTTTTCTCTCTCACTCAGACACACACACACACACACACACACACACACACACACACACACACACACACACACACACACACACACACACATACTTCTTTACATTTGAAAAATAACACGACAAAGTGCAGATGAGGAGGTGATTCATTCAAGATTAAAAACGGAAAGGAATTTCTCCATCTCTTTATTGTGTGTGCCAGACTTACCCGTCACATTTGGGAAGGGATCTAAAGTCAACTACCCTTAATAGAGGACAGATAAACGTGTGTGTGTGTCTGGCTTGCGTTAATTAAATGTGTCTGGTCATTGTCACAGCGACCATATTATTATAATGTTACTTTCACAAGGCCCTCAATAACCCTAAATTATGACCTGTGTACAGCTATAAAGCCAAGAATAACGTTCAACAATACCTGAAGGCCACCATCAGGCAGATCAAACTTTCAACTCTATTTCTTAAATGATGATGAAAAATGGCTGTGCTTTAATATATGTTTTGGATATTAGACTGTCTTTAGGTAGATAGCAAAGAAATCTGCAGTGAGAAACAAGCACGTCAGAAGTCTTTAGATGCATTTAGATCCTGTTAGTGTTTGAGTAATTTGTGGTCGAAAGAAAGCTCTGAGAGCCAGCCATCTGGGCCTGCAGGACCCGTCCTCCTGAGGCCGGCCTTCAGGGCTCCCCTTTCCGTCTGACTGAGGAGATGTGGCATGGCGAGCACCCCTGGTGCAGCACTGAAGAAAAGAAGACAGGGAATTGCTGCTGGAATGACCAGAGCATTTGGGGTTTGGACATGTGCTATCCCTAAGGGACAGATAAGCACGTGTTTGTAAGTTGCAGTGCATTTCTTTCCATCCAAAATCTTTCCGTCATCAAAACAGCACATATGGTCCAGTGGAGACGGTTGTTGAGTGAAAATTCGACTTAAAGTTGATTCTCCAACATTTGGTAGAACTTGTGGGGATTTAACATGTACACTCACTAAGGTGCCACTATGCTATATATTTACACATGTAATAGTACCAAGGTACTGCAATTTATCGTAGTCTTTACATTTTTGTGTAAGAACATCGTCTATCATTTTTAATATTGGCAAATACAATAAGTAACTTTGCCAAAAAGGGAATAATCAAGCAAAAGATTGATCTTCCAACTATTATTTGGTCTTTGAAACTGCATTTAAACGCTTGAAATGCTCACAGTTCCTTTAAGCAAAGGCAAAAGTGCACAAACGATGCAGTCAAACCAATGACTGTCTAGTTTTAAATGTGTTGTCACTGTGTCCTCTGACAACTCAGGCTGTTATAGCATCGGGAAACTCTAGGTCATGCTGATAAATATTGATTGGATTGCCCAAAGCAAGGAAAATATAACAGTATTACCCTGTAAGACATTGTTTGACATTGCTCTTGTCACAAGGACTGGCATCATGTGAGCCAAATATGAATGTTTAATATTCATTAGGGTTATGGTTATATTTAGCGTTAAATGTAATATAGAGCAGATGTTGTGTCAGTTGTGGTAGCATCTGGAAGACACACACAACTTTAAAATAATCTAACATGACAGCTGACAATTACAGAAAAACGTACTTTTAAGACAAAATTGAAAAAAACTAATCAGCAAAATATTGTAGTGCACTTGCTGTATACAATCTTTAAGAATCAATGCCATTTTTAAAACGTACTTTTATCACAGACATATTTTAACACACAACAAAAAAAAATTGTTTTTTTATTCCCAGACTGTTTCACCTTTAGGAGGTCACTGCGAGCTGTGAGGGTTTGCAGCGTAGCCGAGTGTTGAAGTGATGCAACATGGAGGAGTGAACATCTCGACTTCTCTCCTTGGCCGCCACCAATGTCATCACAAGAGTTTTATCCACATGTATTTACTGAACAA